TCTTTTTTTGTATATTTCTTTTGTATTTTGCTGAAATCGACAGGTCGCGACCTCTAAATGACCTTTAAAAAATCTATACAAATAGGCAATAATATTTCTCATAAAAACGAATAAAATTAGGGGTACCGTCTTGAAATTAAAAAAAAAAACATTTTCGGTGGGCACCTTGAGGTACACGGCTGAAGGGTCTTACATACTACCCAGAATTTCAGGAGCTAAAATATTTTCCGAAAAGTCTTTCTGTTTTCGCTACCCAAATAAGAGCATGAGCGCATTGTAGGATATGTAGAAATTTCGTAATAGTGGTAAAGCAAGCATTCAAGACCTCGCTAAAGGCGCCAAACATTTTTCGAAGTTACGTAACAGTCAAGAGAAATTTGTTCTTTTATGATTAAAACAAAAAAATCAAAACTTGTGCGTTTCATACAGCACATTATCATCAATAATTCAGCTCTACGGATTGTGCTACAAAACCACATTTCTTATAATATCAGAAATTACTTCAAAATAATGCAATACCAGAACCACAGCAATTGTACTTATAAGAAATATGTATATTGGCACCATATGCACTTGTATCTTCATTTGGATTTGGATGATAAGTGTCCTGGTTAATGGGCTCACGCATATGGCAACCATAAATTACGGCGATTGGTAGAAGTCTTATTGATAATTTTGGCATAATATTAAGAGTTTTATCCTGCGGAATCTCGGTTAATGTTAGAACGTTTAAGGAGCTGCTAAATATTACTAGAAACTCATATTTAATACAATATAGCTGTATTACATGCCAAGTACGGTTCATATGGTTTTAGTAGTTACATGGGTGTGATGTTTTGGACCACTTAAACTTGTCAGTAGGTTATAAGAAATTAAAAAACGTTTTAAGATTTTCATTATTTATTACTAGCCAATGCCCGTTTGCTTCTCGGTTCCTAATAAGAACTTTGGCGTTGCCCAATGCAAAAGAGCGTTTAAAAGCAAAAATAGTCTTTAAAGTCAAAATATTTAGTTTACGTTGAAACCACTAAAGCGCAGTTTTCTAGTGTGTTTTCGAACTGGCTGCCGAGATAGGTCAATCTTCCACTCAGCTATCGATATGGAATACTTATCCCTTTCGATGTCATGAGCCTTACTGATGGTCTTATTTCCACCTGTGAGATCTCTGCCAAGCATGCGTAATATTTTTCTATGATCTTGCAACTACAACACTGGTCCGATGCGTAAACCAATAAGAATTCTTAAGAGGAAACTCCAGAGCCCAGATGTGCGTTTTCTGTTGTATGAGGGTCAAGAATCCTCACAGTCCCACGGATGAAAAGTTTTCCTTACATTAGCTAAATGAGTCGTGTGATCTCTTGAATATCATTCAAATGAAACAGCGCCATCCATTGGGTCGATTTTCTGCAAAACCATTGCTTACCATCAAATTAATACATATTATGAATTTTAACCTCGACTCCAGTGGCACTCAGCGGGTCAAAAGAATTTTTCATCATACATATACAAAGCTCTCATTTAAAATTTGAACGAAATCTGTCAATAAATATGACTTGTATAAATAACTCTACTCCAGCGCCACGTAGCGAGTTTTCTAGTAGCATGTAATAAGACCATATATGTAAAGTATAACCTCCGATAATTTGACGGAACTCTATTCAGTGGTTTTTGAGTTTACTCCGAACAACGAAAACGGCTATCATTTTGTGTACATAGGTATGTAGTCTATAACGAATCTCATAAAACCCAAAGCTTCAATCTTTGTGCTCAATTAAAAAAAAAATACTCACAAATTTTACCTTTTACCAAAAATTAAAAACAAAGTCACAATAATTCAGTGGGATTTAGAAATCTAGGAGCAAATGGTTCCCAATCGTGTGGTACTTGCGCGTTTACGTAAATGTATATAGATGCAGCGTTTCCAATAATTACCACTTTTCGCCATAAGTACGGTATTAATAGCATATGTAGCTGTGTCGAATTTCAGGACGTTAGAGTAAGCGGTTCCAGAGATAAGCTATATCAGAAGTTCAGTTTGTATGGGAGGTGCCACGCACCCTTTTCCAATGCCTACCAGTTTTCGCCATAAGTAGAGTATTTGCAATTTATGCTTCCATGCTAAGTTTAAGTTCCCCAGCGTAATTGGCTTTAGAGATGTAATGGTTTTTTACTTTTTAGTCTGTATAAGAATTTTACGAATATCCTGACCCCAGCGCCACATACCGAGTAAATTTTTCGAGACCAGTGCGGTGCTAACTCTAAATATAAACAAAGAAGCTCTGGGAAAAGTTAATACATTCAAATACCTAAAAATAAAGATCGATGATTAACTGAAAAAAATGGGTTCTACATTTTCAGTTAGACCTCTAGCAATATGCACATCGGTGAAAACATAAGATTTTGCGTGATGCGCTTACAAACATACAGACATACAGACCAAAATTCTAACAATTGTTGATTTGGCTTCCGTTGATCTAATAAACCCTATATTAATTTTTCTTTAATATCTATTATGTACAGATATCGGCATGTTAGAATTTTATTATTCTCAAATACTTTCGTTTGATACCCATATGGCAACATTTAGGTTGTCTTAGCAATTTAACTGAATTAAATTGTTTAAATAGGTTCAAAAATATTTTCGAAAGTAAGCTTCTTAAACCTCTTTAGTTTGATATCCGTATTGTAATATTTCATTTATTTTACCAATTTAAACGAATACAATTTGTCAAACAGGTGACAGACCCCTTAAAAATATTTTCGGCATAAAAATTTCCTAAACTCTTTAGTTTGATGCCAATAATGCAATAATTTAATTTATCTTATCAATTAAACTAAATGAAAGTTTTCAAACAGGTTGCAACCTTCCACCGAAATATTTTCAGCTGTGAGCCTTTGTAAACCTCTTATCAATTTACTTAAACTGAAATTTTCAAACAGGTGGCAACTCTCTAATTTTTTCCTTCTATATTGTAAGTTGGACCTCTAGCGATACATCAATGAAAACTGAATTCGATTCCATGCATTAGTTTTCGAGTGATGCGCGCACAAATATACAGACAGACATACAGACAGACAAAAATTTTTAAAATTGTTAATTTGGTTTCTGCTCTAATAAAAACCCTCATATTAATTTTTCTTTAATATCTGTAACTTACTGACATCGGCATGTTACAATTTTATTATAAGTATAGATATACATAGATTTCATTTATTTTATCAATTTAATTCAATCAAATTTTTCAAACAGGTGCTAACTCTCCTCCAAAAATATTTTCGGCAATAAAATTTCCTAAACATCTTCAGTTTGATACCCATATTACAATCTTCAATTTATCTTATTTATTTAATTTAATTAAAAGTTTAAAACAGGTGCCAATCCTCAAAAAATATTTTCCGCTGTAAGGCTTCTAAAATCTCTTTCTTTTGACGGCCATATTGCCCATATTGCCTTATTCACCTTTTCTTATCAATTTACTTAACCTGCAATTTTCAAACAGGTGGCAACTCTTAAATTTTTTTCTTTCTATATTTTAAGTTAGACCTCTACCCATACATCGGTGAAAACTGTATTCAATTCCGTGCATTAGTTTTCGAGTGATGCGCGTGCAAACATATAGACAGACAGACAAAAATTCTAAAAATGGTTGATTTGACTTCTGTGGCTCTAATAAAGATCCCAAACATTAATTTTTTTTAAATATCTTTAATGTACAGACATCGGCCTGATACAATTTTATTATATTTATAGATTATTTTATTCTATTGTGTTTATCCGAAGAAGCCTTAGAAGCCAGTCATAAAAATATAAGGAAAGTGCGATTTTCCCATACAAGAAGACGGGATATTTAATGGCTCATTTCCCTGCAAACCATTTTTTCAGAGTATTCTGCATTGTAACGACATTTTAAAGAATTCGTTAAGATTTAATTTGATTTTTTGCCGAATTTTCTAAAATGAAATAAATTACGCACACTTCCATTCTTTTACGAAATTCCGGAAGAAAATCTGTGAATCAACGAAAATAATGGTGCTATGTGAAGAATATATTTCAGAATTTTTCCAGAATTTTTTTAATTTTTCGTACAGAAATTTCTTTACGAGTTCGTGTCAACCGCTTCATATAATTTTCTTTGAAAATTCGTAAAAAAATCGTTACAGAGAGATACTCCTAACGATTTCCTTAAGATTTCGGGAACTTTGGTTTGCAGGGTTGTTATTAATGTCGGATGCGGAACTATCATCAGTTAGGTCTACAAAAAAAAAATGTGAATTTGAAGAAACTGAGAGATACATATAAAAAGATTGAGCAAGTTTAGAAAAACTTCTATTTATGATCCTTTTTAAAGAAAATATTAAATTATAAATTTTTTCAATAACTTAAATTCATAAGGGAGGTAGTCATTTCCTGATACCACATGAAACAAAATTTGTCAAGGGTTAAAAAGTTTATTTTTAGTTTTTAGTACATTCTGGTCACCAATGTAGCTAAAATCTAGTTTTTACGAAAAAGGATATAGGGAGGTTGTCATGTCCTTGCATCGAACAGAACGAAATTTGCCACAGAGCTTAAGGACAGACAGCTACCAATTTTCGCTTTATTCTGTTTATAATTGTTGCGAAAATTAAACTTTTAAAATTAAGGATGTATGTAAGGATATAATTTTACAACAGTTACCAATTGTAGCCAAAATTAAACATTTAAAATTAAAGAATTATGGGAGGTAGTCATGTCTTTGCACCGATTTTGCCAAAACTTCGATTTTTTTTTAATTTACATATTTTGAACCAGCACTCCAAATTTCATTTTTCTTCGACAACTCCTCTAATTTTGCCGATTCACTGTATGGGGGCGAAGCACTGTGCGACGCTCGCTTTTTCGTGCTATTTGGCTGTGCACCTGAATCCTTTATTAGCAATAAAAATGTAAAAACAAAACATGTTCAGTTGTACTTTCGGTTTGGCGCTTTTGCATTTGTTTCTTAGAAATGACTAACTTACACAAAATTATTGTATTATATTGACAACTGTCCGATCTTTGTTGATGCCACTCGTTTCAATAGTACAAAAATACCCTCATTTGCATGTATAATTTGCATGAATATAAAATTCTTGGTTATGATATAAATTTTACTTACCTCCACCGATACACCTGGCAGTAGAAATGTTTGTGCGGGTGGCATGTCTCGTGGCACATATCGATAGAACTCGTTACCATCCTTGTACCACTTCACCGAGTACAGCGACTCACCATCCAAGTCGTAAAGGCATTCGAGTAGTGCTGATGAGCCCTTAACCACGTAATTTGGTATTCTCACCTCAACCAGTCGCAAACTTTGGGTGCAATCTATAAATGAATCGCGCGAAGAGTTGCAAAAGCAAAAAAGGATGAGTAAAGGACTAGAAAGGTTTTGCAAGGGCTGAAAGATGAAAGCTCAAAGTTCACTTGAAAATATGTTTATTTTAGATGCGGTGGCGAAAATGTAAAAATTATGTTTCCCCGTTTGGGAAACAGTAAAAAAATATGTTTTGATCCGCGGCCTCGCGGATTAATTAAAACACGAATTGAGTTAGTTCCAAACTTGCAAAAAGACTGCTCTTTATTTTCAATCTTAGCTTATTTATAGCATTTACAATATTTATTTAACAATTAATTTCACAATAAGGCGTTGGCATTGCATCATGCTATGATGAAATGCTAATGTCTTGGACAAAGAAGTTATTTGACACCCTTGAATGGAATTTTACATTCTGAGCGGAAAAAATATATCAAATTTCAATTTTTGACAAAGAAATCAAATGAGTCATCAATTATGCAGCTGCATAATTGCTGAGTTTGCAAAATTGCATTATGAATCCGCAAGATACAAATTAATAAGAAATATGGTTTATATTTACTACTGTGCCGCTATGTGTGGTCTGCCGTTAACTCCCCCCTATCTAAGATGAATCGTACCCGATTCTTCATTATTTTCTGTTAATTTTTCTATTTGATCCAATATAACTTTGTATGTATTTTCTTGAATTTCTATATTTTCGTTTTGATTGGCAGTTTTATGCGGTTTTTTGAATTTAATGTAAATGTCAATTACTAAAATTATGACAATATACAAAATGGATAAATGAGTTTTGACATTTTTATCTTCTTTGGCTAATATATTTATATTTTCCAATTTGCGTTGTTTATTGGTTGTTTCTATATATTCCAAAATTTCAAAGTTATTTGCATAATCATTTTTTAAATAATTCTAAATCTTTGCTTCAATATTTTCATAGGTTTTGTTATTAATTACAGTATCATTTTCAAATGTTACTAAATATGTTCCTGGTAAAGTTTGCTTTTCTACAATATTTTCTCCTGAAATCAATATTGCTCCTTGTTTTATAATTTCAATTGGAACATTTCTTTCTTTTATTTTTGTACATTTTCCTTGTTTTTTATTTAAATTTTTGATAAACATGTACTTTGCTTGTACAGTTTACAATATGTTTTTAAAATTTCTGTTTTACAATCTTTTACATTGAGGAACTTGTTGTTACAATTGGTTACATTTTTAACAATAATAAGCCTACCATCTAATTGTGCAATAGCTCTAACTTCGTAATATTTACATGCTAACTTAATTTTTTGATATTTTATATATAGTACAATTATATAATTTTTTTGGGCTATTTTAAATTTTTAAATATCCATTAGGTCTGTATGGTCATTGTACCGTGCTGGTAATATGTTATATTTTTTAATTCGTCAAAGTGCAAAATAGTAGGGTTCAAAATTCCTACTTTACCAAAAGTTATTGTATTTATCATGTTTTGTAGTTTATGTATAATATTTATTTATTTATTTATTTATTTAAGTACTCTAACACAACAACCACAGGTTATATTTCAGTGTTAGATACTGAGAATATTACAATAAAACATAACGATATTAAAATATATAAAATTTGAACTTAACATCTAAAACTTATACAATTATTCATAAACTGTAAGATTGAAGTGAATAAAGAAAAATACAGTTGAGGGATTCACTGCGATGTCGTAAGTATCGTATTGTTTTATGTCGTAAACTGAAAAGCTTAAATAAATGTTTAGAGAACTTGAAACCACAACCAACTATTTTTTAACACTGCGAAAATACACAATATGACTTGGATGGTACTTTGCAAACCCCTTTACCATGTTTTTTAGGCGTTTAAAGTTTACGACATACAACAGCACGAGACTTACGACACTGTTGTGAATACCCCAAGTAATTTAGAAAAATTTAGTAATTTAGAGTTGAGGTGACTGACGCGAGTTAAATAGTTACAACTTTTGTTAGTCAGCATAGTGTCTAAGTAATGCTATTTTAAAGTGCAATGTGTCCTTAATAGACCTGAGTTTAAGTGGTAATTTGTTCCATAGGCGAACAGTATAGACAAAAAACTGACGCTCAGATATGAAAGATTTGAATTTCAGGTGCAAAAGCTGTTGTAATCGTGACGATTGAGTAATTTGAAGACGAATTTTGAGATGCGGATGCTCCTCTGAGAATAAAATTTTCTGAAGCATTGTAAGGCACTTGAGTTTCAGCATATCGTCGAGTGATATTGAAGTTATCTTTCGAGCCGATTGAGAGATGTGGTCATCAGTGTCGCCAGGTCTTCGGCATGAGAAAACATCCCTCTTGGTCTGAAAAAACCTCATCTCCTACCCAAAAACGTCTTTTTCAAATGAATGTACAAAAAATTCGTCTTATTAAACTTTTATTGCATACAAAGGTACATAGATATGTACCTAAGGTATATTAAAATGTCATTTCGACACAGCACATTTAAAATTCATTGTAAACTTGGTTGAGATCGTTAATATAAACATCATTTTATACATATACTTGTGACCAGCTGATTAAGTCAACAGCATTTCGATCGATTTTGGCTGTTTCTCTTTTGTTTATTTAATGTTTACTATTTTTCCATAAAAGCCAATCTCATTATATAACAAACAAAATATAAATCCACATTTCAAACTTTGTGCAAAAGTTATAAAAAATCTGTAAAGTTTCAGCTAGATTTTCAACTTTTTAATCCGATTTTTTAGAATTTTTTTGAGTATGCAGTTTGATGGCGCATTAAATTTCATGGCAATACTGTGCAAGTTTGAATGGGTTAATAATCGCATTGATTTTTAATAGTTTTTTTTTTCTTGTAGGCATTTGGTTAGGGGGTCGGTTGTCGAAAATGCTAAATTACGTTCTGCTAAGAAGGAGCATAGCAATATTTCAGCCTTTTTTGCGCTCGTTACATTTTCAATGAAGTCTTAAAAAATTCGCCTAGTTTTTTCTGACTTTTTATGCCGCTACAGCTTTTTTGATGCTTTTGCGAGCGTGCGTGTTGCAATATATCAGCTTTTCCTGATTTGGCTTTTAATGTGCCTATTGCAAACATTACAATAAGCCTCGTAACCTCAAGTGTTTACACAACCAACCTTTGAACACGGGATCCTTAGTCCAAGATCAAAAAAAAAGTGCGCGTACGCTTGGTTTGCATCATATTTAAGTCATATGTGTCCAAAGAATAAATATCTTTTGAAGCAGCTGCTGCAAAACACAGCTTGTAAAGATTTTTTAAGAAAGTAATTCAAAATCAGATCTACTTACAAGACCCTTATAGTCAAAAAGAAAAATTACTGGGAAGTTAAAAAACATAATTTTTTACACAAAAAACGTCCAAACGTCAACGGGATACAAAAAACGTCCAAATGACGTTAAAAACGTCAACCTGGCAACGCTGGTGGTCATACCGTTTTTTGCTAAATATATACCTGGCCATGTTATTATAAAGCACGTTGAGTTTTTTATTGAATTGACTATCGCTGTTAGCATAGAGTTCGCAACCGTACAACAGCGTTGGTAGCAAGTAAGATTTCGCGATTAACATTCTAGTGGGCATTGGCGTTAGGCGTTGTGTTGACCATAAATACCTTAGCGTAGCGTATACTCGTATACCAATTGTGCTATAGACATGATTAACCCATGTTAGTGTTCTATTAAATAGTACGCCCAGGTTCTTAGCTACATCAACATATGGTATCACAGTTCTGCTCAACGAAACTGTATCATAAACGTTGAGGTCAAAATGTTTTTTAAAAATAGCAATACATTGGGATTTTTTTTGGATTTAAGACCAAGCCATTGTTACTTGCCCACTCGTGAACGAGGTCTAAATCACTATTAAGGTTCTGTATGCATAGGTTTAATGAGTGAAGTGGGCAGCTCAAATATAATTGCACATCATCAGCGTATATTTGAATTTTATTGTGCTTTAATACCTTCGGCAGATCGTTGATGTACAAAACAAACAGTAAGGGGCCGAGAATCGACTCTTGAGGAACTCCTTTAGATATGGAAAGAAAACTTGACATTGCATTGCCTATGTTGACTGCTTGCGATCGGCCGAAAAGATATGAGCTAATTAGGTTTAGAGCCGAAGATGAGAATTGAAATAAATTCTTTAATTTAAGACACAGTAGTTTGTGATTTACTGTATCAAAAGCTTTGGAGTGGTCAAGAACAGTAAGCAAAGAGGTTACGCGATTATTGTCCATATTTATTCTAATGTCATCTGAAACGGTAAGAAGCGCAGTGGTACAGCTTTTCTTATGCCTGAAGCCAGATTGGTACGCGCTAACCAGGGAATTTTTAGATATAAACGAGTCAATCTGCTGATGCATTATGAGCGCTAAGACTTTAGATAGATATGGGAGAATCGCAATAGGTCTGTAGTCACCATTTGATTTCAGAATGGGTACTATTTTGGCTTTTTTCCATCAGTTCGGGAATATAGCTGATGTAAGAATGTTATTTATTGCGCAGGTAATATATGGAAGAAGTTTCGGGGGCAAACATTTGAAAAACTTCGGATGAATGTCATCCAAACCAGCGGCGTTAGATTTTATAGATAGTACTGACTGGACAACGTCACACTCATTAACACAATTAAAGCTGAAGTTTGACAGCGACCTTTTCAAGAGTATTCGAGGAGTCAAGGAACTGCTTATTAAATCATTTACATTTACAACATCAAGGATTTGTGCCCTTTCTTTTCCGATCCCTATTTCGCGAATTCGCTGCCATGTTTGCTTTGACCCAATTGCTGCACTGAATCTTTGGTCGTAATACATAGTTTTTTGGGTTTTTATTGCTTTAATTGTCTCTGTTCGAAGAGTTTTAAAGTCGTTGTAAAGGACATCTGTCCTATAACGCTTCCACTTCTGGTATGCTCGATCTCGTTTTGAAATTAACGTTTTGATATGGCTATTAAACCAAGGACGGCATTTATCCGAAATAGTTGTCGTAACAAGCGG